GTTAACGCAGGTACAAATGAAGACATCAGTGTAACGTTACGGTCAGTTCAATATCGATACACACCGTCCGACTGCATGTGACACAAGCTAAAGTATGTGTTCAGTAACCACAGTAGAAGATAGTAAACACAGTAAAGAGGCATTCAATGACACCGGGCCTTGACGTGTTCAAGTCAAGTTAGCCACACCAGCTAACGGCAGCTAGCTCTGATAGCTTGCTAGCCAAGGTCAGAGAGATAACACCGGGATTTGAACTGGACACCGACTGAACCTCGACTTTACTTCTGGATCTCATGCACAACGATGCACGGGTACGCTGCATAAATGGTCAATAAAGTATATTCTGATGAGATGCCGTTCCGTTCATTAAACCGTCCTCTTACTCACCTCGCTGTACAAAGTGTAGTCTGCGACTGAGCCCAGCAGCGGAAGGGCTTTTTGTTCGTCAGCAGCGGCAGCAACAGCGAGTCCGCCAGCGCCCTCTGCTGGACGCACAGAGTACGGCCACTCACACTGCCTGCAGTCGTTCATATAGAAGGCTTCATGTGCACTGACATACCGTGTATCTGCACTTATATCTGTATATCTGCGCTTTAATGGGACCAATATAAATATACCTCACAATAAAGTCGTGTCTCTGTGATTTTATTCCGCTTAAAAGGCGACACAGGATCCCTTTTGTTGGAGAGGTACGATGGCGAGAACAAAAGAGCACGAAAATAGGAACATGATACATTATAGAATGATCTTTTTCATAATATAATATAATAATGTTAAACATAGGCTTATGTAGGACTACTTACCTGCTGGAAGGCTACAGGGTGACAGTGTAATAGAGCAATGTGTTGCAAGTGTGCTACCCAACAATAAGCTAAGTATAATCAATAAAATGCATCACGTTTAACACCAGCTGGCAATTAAATAATGGATTTTTCTCTGAATCGTATCGACTTGATAATTTGTGCTTATTTCGCAGTATTTCTTTCTTTATTATAGTCATGGTAACAGCCTATGGTAGGTGAACGTGGTGCGGCAGTATAAGGACATTGCTATTTTTACAATTGCACTAAATAGATAAAATAGTTTTTACTAGACAGGAGGTGTTTATTTTGTTCCAAGTGCCCCTTAAACAGATATGTGTGTCTTCAATTTGCGTTTTCAACATGTCTGAAGCGACAAGATGTGTTGGACTAAAATGTAATGACATATAAAAATGTTTTGTTGAAATGTAAAGCACGTGTGTGATGTGCCACAGAAAACATAAGGTTGTGCTAAAATACAACAAATCGTTGTTCCTTTAACAGAATAGCGGTTTGAACTGTTGTCTTATTGGCTCATATTGAAATCTCCCAACCAATCTATTTTCAAAGTGTTTAATGGCTCAATCACAGTCTGCACGCTATTTTAAATTAGAGTTGTTCAATGGCACGACATTGGAAAAATTACATAATTATTGGGACATTTTCAGATTAGATAATAATAACAATTATGTAGGTCAGGCGATGAGGTTTTGGCAACAGTGGTTGACGTTTGGCTTACCAACAGCTTTTATTAAACATTACAGTAATAAACTGAGTCTGAGCTCTTTATATAAACCCAAAGCAAACCTTCAAACTGCTGCTCCGCTGATTCATCAGACTTATTATCTACTGTAATAATAATAAAAACAGTGAAACCGGTTGTAAAATGAATCCACCACTTCAGGTCTTGTATAATGTTTATTTACTAAAATCAGTTTTTACAAGTAACTGAACATTTAGATAGAGTGATGTATGTACACAGTACAGATACAAATATATTCAATAAATACCACTTTACCTGCGAGCGAGGCCGCAGGACTTTATGAACACTACACATTTTATTTACATTTACAGCAAAAATCCTCAGAGAAAATCTACCATCACTCCCATAAAGGCCACGTTGTGAGAGTAAAAAAAACCGACCTAATACATGTGTTGTTCTAAAATATAATTTTGCTCCATTTTTACAAAATATAGGAATCGTGACAGGAACTGTAGGGAAATGCAAACATTCAAACAGCAACTCCGGAAAACTGCAGTTTTACTAGAAACAGTCAAAGCTGAATTAGGAGAAATACTTCAAGTGATACTCTGGTCTTAAGGCACTGACACCGTTTAAGTACTTTTCTGTTGCTTTTAAACAATTTCCTCCACCTCAGATCATTGCCTTCATGTCCGGACACACTTTAAATGTGCATCCACACAAACTACTGCGGGGCACGGCGGACTGAAGCTGGAATGAGATGTTTAAGGCATGTCGTTTAAAAACCTGACATTTACTTCTGGAGTTTTGCCTAAGCAATTTAGGCCTGTGAATCCACAACCCACAACTGGACACCTCATCTCATCTTAAAATGAGGAGAGCAAGTGAACTCACTCCGTCCAGTTACGCACACATTTATACATCAAAAATATGTCCCACATTTTAACAGTTTTCTATTCTGGAGGTCAGAACATTTCTGTAAACTCGGAATTGAAAATATGAAAATGTTTTCCGAGATGTAGCATCATCCTCGTTCATAAGTGTATTGCAACCATGACAGAGGACTGTTTTTTCTCTTAAAACCACACATACAGACACAGTAACACTAAGACAAATAGTACATCCCATAAGTGACGGGTCCACTGAACAGTCCTGGGACCGGCAGACTGGGCCTCGGGAAGGCGCTTGACGGGCCCCACGTCGGAGACCCCATGTGCGCTCCGAGGGGGAACGGCAGCGCGAAGGCGGGCAGGACGGGCTTGGAGGCCAGTTTAAACTTTTCCAGCTCGGCCTCCTGCAGTCTCTTGGCTTTGGCCCTCCTGTTCTGAAACCAAATTTTGACCTGAGTCTCCGTCAGGTTGAGAGAGTTGGAGAACTCGGCTCTCTCGGCGATGGAGAGGTACTGCTTCTGGCGGAACTTGCGCTCCAGCGCGAGCAGCTGGGAGGTAGTGAAAGGCGTGCGAGGTTTCCTGTTGTTTTTGTGTTTCCTTAAAGTACACTGAGTTGGACTTGAGCTCCCTGTTAGAGAAAAAAATACAAAGGAAATTAGTTGAAGTTACGTTCAACTGAAGCGTAATTGTTGTTGTCGATCACCACAGCAGGTAAACATTTGAGCCTTCAGTGTCTATGAATGCAAACAAAATCTTGATGCAGCAAGTAAACACACACCAATAAAATGATTTACTTTACTTTTGTTGACAAGTTAAACTTCTTTGTAAATCTGCATCACAAACTGACCAAATTTAGTCGTGCAAACATTAACTGAAATGTGTAATCACGCTGTGGCCATTCAGTGTATGTTAAATATATAAAGAAATATAAAGAGTATAAGAAAGAACAATCTGTCAAAGAACCGGTGCAGCAGCCAAATATGCGCGCTGTCATAATTTATCTGCGTTTTCTAAGACACAACAACAAAAGGCAAAAGGCAAGAAAGACATTTTACGCACAGGCTGTAGCGCTTCTGGCGATATTATTATTACTGTGACACAACAAGGAAAGTATAGTTTTGTGTAACTATAGCCTGATAACACACATATATTCTTTGCGGCCTTGGTTATATATACAGTAAAAGACGAACAAATGCAGTGAGTCCTGGTTGTAGAGTTTGCGAAACCCCTTAGACCAGCAGAGGGACGGACTTACGAGGCGGAGTGGGAAAGGAGGACGTCTGGAACCAAGTGCTCTGATCCTTCTCACAAAACTGCGGACTGTCCTCGCTGGAGCTATTGGAAACACCCTGCGAGCTCTCCGCGGAAACCTTCCTCTCCGCGTAAAGAGTCCTTGGAGAGAACTGCGCCCCGCTTTGCCCGGCCACGGGCTTCGGCAGCACCAGAGCTAAATCTGCGGGGGAATAAGAAGTCCGACAGGTGGTCTTCTTGGAAATCAACGACTCGACGCTAAACGGGAGGCTGCTCCGCTGGAGTTTGTATCCTTTATCTGTGGTCATGTCTTTAGGCTGAAGTTCCTCTCCCTCCGTGTCCGTCTCCTCTTTCTGATGAAGCTGTTTGGCGTCTTGGGACGGCGACCCCTGCACAGGATTCATCATCATACAGGGAAATGGGGCCATGCACCTCCGCGCGGCCCGTTTAGAGGAATGGAGTTGCTGAGGGTGTACAGTGTCCAATATGCGTCTCTGCGCTGTCAGCGGTGCCCAGTAGCTTTTACGCGCTGTACGGGGTCGTCTATAAAAGGACAGGGGCTGTTCCCCCTCCCCGCTCCCACCAATCAGCTCGTCAGGTTGGCCTCGTGACGTCTCCGAGTGTGGTTTGGATTGGCCCGCTGCCTTCCAAGGGAACATCAAGAGGCCTTTGAAAGGAAGGAGAAGTTAATCATACAGACCCCATGCGGCGCAGGGCCATTGATGGCCCTCACAAAGTAGCTTAGACCAATTTTAGCGCAATTAACCAGTGGGGAGGACTCTGTTGACCATTTACATCCATTAGCCGGGAACTCCATCGGTGGGTCACTGAATTATTCTCCTACTGTAAAGCTGAGCAGGAACTAAAGAGTCACATGTCAGTATCAAAGTCATAAGGGCTACTTTTATCAAAGAAGAAGGAAAAGGGAACAACACTAAAATATCTTAAAGCTACAGACTAAACGGGCCAACAGCACACGGGATTACATTTATAAATAAACAAACAGGCAGCATAAAGTCATTAAATGACAGACGGAAAATATAAACGAGAAAAACAATGAAACCGAGAATCAAATCAGATAAGAAAAGGTGCGCACCCAGGACAGAAATTGATTAGGTATGAGTGTTGGTCACACAGCATTACAGCAATTTAAGGCCTGTCATGAGCTCTTCTCCCTTCACAATGGCCTCAGTTGAGAAGCAACAGGCGTTTTCTTTCTCCAGGTCATACTATTTAATAAGCCAGACAAGTTGTGTTCTGCAAGGCGCCAGGCTCGGCAGGATCAAAAAGGAAGATACCTCGGGGAGAAAAGGCAACGGTTAACTCCACTTAACCAATTGTCCTCCAAATATTTCATAGTCCACTGCATGGAGCTGGGAGGAAGCAGCCGCTGACAGTTAACTGTTTCACGTCTACTCTGAAATCGACGAGGGTGGAATTAATTTGGACATGTTTTATTAAAATTATACTCATCAGATCAGCAGCATCATCAAAATCTCCGCAGCACAAGCATGGATTTTGCAACAGGTGAAAAACAGTTTTTGTTAAGACTAATTTAATCGAGTTAATTGTAATTGTGAATTGGAAGAATCGAGGTGAAATGTTTCAGAAGAGTCACTGCTGAGCTCAGCAGCCTGGATGTGCGGGATGCAATCCGCTGTGTGATGGCTGCTGGTTCCTTTAATGAAGTTGTTTAAAGTATCAATACCACAGTTCATCTGCATTTAACTGGAGTAAAAAGCACACAAGTTTATCAACAAAATGTACAGTATATTATTATGAAAATTGACTTAAAGTATCAGTATGCAGAATAATCCCAACCAGTGTCATTAATATAACAATGTTACATTATTGGATAATTATTGCTTATTATTATTTACTGTTGTAGTTGGTTAGGGTGGAAATAATTTTAAATACTTAACGTACTGTCAGACAATTAAATCTATAATAAATTACATTTTACAGATTGATTATATGTAAATAAAGTCTTAATCAGCATAGCAACTAGTTACATAGTTGAATAAAAAGTACTTACAAATACTGAGGTGAGGTGTATGAAAGTAGAAGTATAAAGCTGCATTAAAAAGCTGTATTTATGAACAGCACTTGAGTACTTTGTTTCTGGTTTATCACATTATTATTATTTCATAAGATCACTGCTTTGCAGTGGGAGACCTAAACTCCCTTCAATTTCATGATGTGTGTAATCTAAGTTCATCCCTTTCAACACGTCCAAGCCGACATCTCATTAAAAGTGTCAGCAGCACACTGCGGCCTCCTGGACATCATCAGTCCAACCCAACACAAGACCGAGACTGAGAGCTCCACTATCATCAACTCTGTGAAATATACAATTAAAAGTGGGTAAGTGGGAAGATGGGATAATCAGTCTCCTAAGAACCTAAGATCATTACTTTTCCACCCTCTTTTACTCCACCAAATGACTTTATTAGTCCTCTACGTGCTTAAGTGGATGAAACAATGAAAAATTAGTCTCGCCTTGTTCAGAAACCACAAACAGTTGTTTGGTTTAGTTCTGCAGCCCAATCCCGCAGCACATGACTGTCATGCTGCTGGAATCTTGAATTTAGCTGCCATTTCACAAAAAACAACAGGAAACAAAAGATCGTTTGATTGACAGATTTCTTTATTGAGACCACTAATGGCCGGCCTCTTGAAAGCCCCTCAGGTGCAAAGAACAATTTACCCCTCATCAGGTGAGAGGCACAACTTCAGTCGATGATTCAGCTTGAGTAAATCCTGATGTTGAGTTCGCTCCTTCATTTTCTATCTGACAAAGCCGGCCCTCTGTCTCCTCACACACCAGGGGCCTCTCGTCACCCAGCTGGTTTGGGTTTAAATCCAAGAGACTGCGTACCCTTCCTTCTAGCTCATCTCCGCAGTGTCGTGCAAAGAAGGGGATGAGAGTCGGCCCGCAGAGTGTGTGGACTCATACAGAGATTCATCCGATACAGGTACACCCAGAGATAAATCTACACAAGAAGTACAGTTACCTCTCCTCCCCTGGTGTTTGGTCCAGTGTATTTAGCTTCGGGCCCCCTCATCCCTACCCCAAAAGACATTTCAGTAACAGCATGCAGGCGAGTGAACTGTGTCAGAAGGTGTTAGTGAGTTTGAAAGCAGATCTGTCCTTCAAGCACTTTCCCCTCAGCCGGCACCAGAAATGAAAACTTTTTCACGTGTATGCGAAGGGGGTCCGTTTACAGTACTCTCATGCTTCGATGAAACCACTTAACCAGTTCATAAAGTGCAAGGGCCAAGAGTGAGAACAATTTTATATGCGTATAGCTCAGTTCTCATATCAAACGTCTTCTTGGGCAAAAGGCGGTCCCATCACGGCCGGACCCTTCAGGTGCACTGATGCAGCTGATGACTTTGTGGGAGTCCAGGCGAGCTGGTGTCTGTCCTCTATCAACAATGTGTGAATTCCCTGCAGTAGCGAGGCCTTCCGGCAAACAAACCGATCATTTAGTGGAGCAAGCGAGCCATGGAACCCAATCCCTGTGAGATGTGTCGACAGTGGCACAAAGACCTGTAGCTACAGGCCTCGGCCAGTTGATGAGGACAAGCGAGTGCATCCCGACACGTCACTCTCTCACTCTGCTCACTTTTCTCATCTGAAATCAGCAGAAGGAGGGGGAATATTGTGCTAAAACAGTTGTCCACTTCACGTAACTGATGTTAGGCGTAAGAAAGGAACATTTCCGTGGATATGTTTAGTCTTCATTTCTGCATGAAAGCAAGAGGTAACTATCTATCTTTCCATGTATTATTTTCATGTTCGCCACTTCGACTCGTGTGCCTTCCTCACATAAGGTGACCAGCATGGCACTCTTCATTTAACAGCAGTTTAAATAGCTGTTCTTTGGGTTGCTCAACGCTGTGGAAAAATATCTTGACCTTTCATTTGACTTAACAAGTTGATCCAATCCACATCAGACCGGCTTCAATCCTGCACTTAAACGCTGGTTTGACATTTTCTGCCAAAGCCACTTCCTCTTGTGGCATCCCTGTGCCCTGTGTTTGAATGCAGGGTAATGAGGGAAATATTTTTGCCCTGCTGAAGTGAAGGAAGCAAATTGCCTTCATCATGGCTTCTTTTTTGGACTGTAAAAAGCAGTCAGGGGGACAGAGTGTCCTGTTATAGCTGCTGTTTTGAACCCAAACCTAAACACAACAGGGTTTATTTCTTTCGACTGTGGTGGTGGAACTTGCATTTTGAACTCAAGCTGAAATTAATGTTTGCACGTACACTGATGGCTGCATTTTTGAATAACATCTTTAACACCGTTCCTTACTCCAGCATCCTCAGAAACAGATGTTTTCGTTGAGAGGGTTCCTCCTGAACTCTGCTGCCAATAGAGATTGTTAAGGAGAAAAACCACCAGAGGTGACAATGCAATTGGCAATTTTGTCTGGCTTGCCGTCGGCCATAGAAATCCACATTCTTGAGGAAAGTCTAGAGACAATGTGAGTGGGCGAGTTAGGTTGAGGACTGGGGACGAGGAACTTTGTGTGGCTACTCTGTGGTCTCATTCACAAACCAAAGAATGTCGCCACAATCTCATACACTCTTAGCAGCCAAAGCTGTGATGCAGTAGATTTGAGAAAAAAAAAGAAAAAAAACTCAAGGCAGCAGCATCAATTTTCTCTTTTACTGCTGGCTTCGAATCCCAGCGAGGCCAAAACCAGCAACTATTGTATAAATTACAGCAATTGGGAATATATTGTATGAAATCTTTTCTTTTGCAGGTCGTAAAAAATGTATTAGTTGGTATTTAAACTGGGTGTGAATATTTTACATCCAATTTTCTTCTTTTTGTTTCATTTCATCATAAGACTGTAACGGAGACCCTTATTGTTACATGACAGATAGACTACACTGACAATTTACAGGAGTATCATTGATATAGCAATAATGACGGATGGATTTTCAATAAAGCACAACACTGTAAAGTTTTAGAACTGAAAATGTGTCTTTTCACAAGGTAAAATCTTGATCTCATGTTTAAATGTGTGACAGTTAATCGTGTTTTCATTCTGACAATTGGTTCCAGTTACCAGGCATTTTATATTAGTGCTTCATAAAACGTAAAACTGAAAAACTCACTGAATAGATTGGTCACAGGAAATCTTAACTGGCATTTATTGTCGTTTCTGCACATTTGCTGCAGGGCTTCTGCACTTTGAGAACACATGTAGTTAAGTTTAAAATTTCTCAGACCATAACTTCCTTTAATTTTTTTCATGACAAAAAAATTATGTTTGTCACTTGTTTCAGCCCACGATTCTTAATCTAACTCGTCATATAAATTTTTTATAAGTCAACAAAAGTGTTTAGGCTGTTGAATACAGATCCAAATTGGCGATGCCTGTCTGATAGTAATAATGTTATTGCAGGCACCAAAGGTCAGAACAAATGTGTGTGTTTGAATATCCTGAGATTACAATTTCAAAGTCCTCCCCATGAAAAGTCGAACA